TGAGATGCTTCAAAAATCATTGTGCAGTTCAATTGTTGACAAACCAATTGAATTAAAACAACAAACCACCCTTTCTTATAGATTCCATTACAATCATTTTATTGGTCCTATTACAATTTATTTGATGCAGTGAGCAACTACGGAAAAACAATGTTAACTGCCTGTAGTCCCTAAAATAATGCAGCTAATCGATAGCCCTAACCCTAACTCTTACCTTAACCCTAACATTAACCCCTAAAACCTAACCCTAATCTCAAGGTGGTGGAACAGCACATGCGCAGAAAGGCTCGATAGCACGTCTCGATAGGTAGGATTTTATGACAGAACACTGGAACCGGGCCAGCAGTGCCACACATTTGCCAGAAGTGGCCCACATTTATTTGATGCAGTGAGCAACTACGGAAAAACAATGTTAACTGCCTGTTGTCCCTAAAATAATGCAGCTATTGGTACTATACAATGAAACATATTACTTCATTATAATGTTGCATAAGTGTTTAATAATGCATTTAAATAATGTAATATGCTCTGTCTCTGTCCAAATAGCACATTCATTACATCTAGAAAACATTTCTTTTTCCATAAGCAACAACAACAACAACTGCACATTTGCGATACCTTTGCCAGAAGTGGGCCAGAGCCGCAAGCCATATAAGTATTTTTTAATAAAGTATTTAACATGTCGCCCATATCTGTTTTGTGACATTTGGGCCACATTTGTCTAACCACAAGTGGGCCACTTTTGGCATACATCTGTTTGCCGGTGCCGGAACTGGGCCAGCAGTGCCACACATTTGCCAGAAGTGGCCCACATCCGCATGCTATCTGGGTCCCATAGCCACATGCAGTTACAACATCGGGTGAAATACTACAGTATAGTATCACAAAAATATGAAGGCAGAGCAATAAAATCAATTCAAAGGCAATCACCATTAAGATCCATAGATCTGATAATCAGACAATACATCTCCGTTAAGGTTTGTTTCACGCAAAAAAAAAAAAAAGAACTGTGGCCG